GGATGACACCTCTTACTAAGCGGTGCCTCTGCCAAAACTTAGTCTTATTCTTTTATTTTGTAGCCATTCTTAAGGCATATTATGAACTCTTCCTCGGTTAGTTTTGATTCCAATGATCATCTTTTGAGGTCTGCTATATTTTCAATCGTCCACAGGGTGAAGTAGACTGCTCTCTTTGTTCCTGCAAAGAATCTAAAACTAATGCTATATCAAATTCAAGGGCCGTGATTCAGTCCTTTGGGCTAGATGATGCTCAACAAGAGGCGGTTCTAAGCTGTATTGCAACAAGAGAATGTGATAACCGGAATATGGTTAAGCTAATTTGGGGTCCTCCAGGAACTGGAAAGTCTAAAACAGTTGCCTCCTTACTCTACGTTCTATTAAAGATGAAATGCAGAACTTTGACTTGCGCTCCTACGAACATTGCTGTGTTAGGAGTTACAAAGAGGCTGATGCAACATGTACTAGATGGTTTAGGAGACATAATTTTATTTGGTAACGGGAAAAGAATGAAGATCGATGATCATGAAGATCTGTTTGATGTATTTCATAAGAACCGTGTTGATACTCTTGTTAGCTGTTTGTCACCAAATACTGGGTGGAGAATTGGTGTGCAATCCATGATATGTTTGCTCTAGGATCCTGAAGAGCAATATCGCAAGTACTTAGAAAATGAAAAAAAAGAAAGAAAATGACAATGATGAGGATGAGGAAGAGGAAAAAAAAAGAAACATTACCAATGATCAAGTACTAGATAAGAATAGGAAGAATAAGTTGTGGAACAAATTTGTCCTTGAGCCATTGAAAAAGAACAAGAAGGCGGCATCAAAAGATAAACTAAGTTCTCAAAGGAGGAACAACTCGAGAGCAGATGACAAAGCGAACAAGGTCAAGAACGAAGGGGAGGCAAGCAACAAAAGAAGCCATTGTTTGGACATTTGAGGAGTTTGTTATCGAAAGATTCAAATGGATACAGAACCAGTTAATATTTTGTCTGACGAGCTTGTATACACATCTACCTACTTCTTTTATTCCACTAGAAGTAGCTATGGAAATGATCAGACTACTTGCAATGCTTCAGACTCGTGGAAAATTGTTTGCTACTGCAGAAACTTCTGGAGGGTTAACAGAAATTCCACACGAAATTGTTACAAGGAATAAGGCGAGACGCTTTGCTAATTTGTATGCAACCAAAACAGAATGCCTAAAAGTATTGAAATTTCTTAGTGAGAGTATCTCTCTTCCCAATTTAATCTTTGACTACCAAATTCGAAGTTTTTGTCTGAAAGGTGCATGCTTGATTTTCTGCACTGCTTCTAGCTCATCGAAATTGCACACAGACAGAACGACACCAATTGAGATGGTGGTGATTGATGAAGCTGCTCAGTTGAAAGAATGTGAATCCACTATTCCTTTACAAATCCCAGGTCTCCGCCATGCTATACTCATCGGAGATGAGAAACAATTGCCTGCAATGGTTCAGGGCAAGATTATCTGTTAGTTTTTTCACATCTTGTTTTTAAAATTACTGTGCTGTTCTTATGTCATTGACAACTAGTATCTGTTATATACAGATCTGTGAGAAGGCTGGCTTCGGCAGGAGCTTATTGTAGGACACAAGAAGCACCTTCTTAATGTTCAATATAGGATGCATCCAAAAATAAGTCTCTTCCCAAATAATGAGTTCTATGAGAAGAAAATAACGGATGGTCCTAATGTAAAAGCCGCAATATATGAGAAGAGATTTCTTAAAGGAAATGTTTTTGGCTCCTATTCATTTATAAACACAAGTAGTGGAAATGAGGAGCTTGATGACCAACATAGCACGAGAAATATGGCAGAAGTTTTCGTTGTAGCTGAAATAGTCGCTAACCTTTATAAAGGTGACACTCTAATCTTTTGGTGACTTAATTTCTAATTTTGATGATCTTTTCGAGTTTTCTCTACTGTATCTTTATTTGCATTGCAATTGATTTGGCAACCTGATATTGTTATCTATGTTACAGAATCTGTCTCTTCAAAACAAAAAGTCCGTGTTGGTTGTATATCTCCTTACAAGGCTCAAGTTTTTGCTATTCAACAAATTCTTGGCAAGAAATATAGCACAGATGTTAACAGTGACTTCTCAGTGAATGTTCGTTCTGTTGATGGTTTTCAAGGGGGTGAAGAAGATGTTATAATTATATCCACTGTTCGTTGTAATGGGAGTGGATCAGTTGGTTTCCTTTCTAATCTTCAGAGAGCAAACGTAGCACTGACCCGAGCAAGGTAGTATTAATTTGGTGGAAAACTTTTCAAAAATGTTAGGATATAATTTGATGAACTTGTTCTTGATTGTTTCCTCGTCTTTTTATGCAGATACTGCCTTTGGATATTGGGAAATAGCACAACTTTGGTTAACGGTGGTTCCATTTGGAAGAATTTAGTCATTGACGCCAAGGCTCGTGGTTGTTACTTTGATATTACTGATGATCAGAGATTGTCTCAAGCAATTTCGAACGCAACCATTGAAATTGGCAACATAGAAACATTACTCCTCTATATTCAGAACAGCTAAGTGGAAAGTATGTTTCTTTATTTTTCTTAAGCCGGATGTTTAAAGTTTCTTCAACTATTTCTTTGAGTCAATTGAATACTGCGTTGGAGCCGATGATGTATATTTAACAATTATGGGCCAGTCGGATTTTGGGCCTAACTTGGGTCCTCAATGCATTTTGCATTGGGCCTAATTGCCCACAGCCCACTTCTGGGCCTGCCCTTTCAGATGGTATATTCACATTGTGCATAGAAATGTGTATTATAATTATTTGTTCCATCCATATACAACTTTATACATGAAATTTAATTATTTGCTCCATTCATGTATTTGTTTTAGGTACAACTTTGTACTAACTAATAGGACATTGCCACTTGACAATGTAGAATGTAGCCCTAGATTCATTCATACTTGTATATAATTCAAGACATGTACTGCAAAATGAGATTCTGAAAATACAAGGAAAAAAAAAAATCAAATCATTCTTCTGATTTTTACATACTGTAGGAGTAATATTTAAGTAGCTCCTTAACCCCCTAAGTCTATAGTCTATACTAATAGCTGTTGCATAACTCATCGACAATTTGATTTGTTTCTTGAATATTAATGGCAAAAATTACATCTGTTGAATTTGGAATTTGCTAGTAAAGTAAAGACAACATTTTCACAAGTGATGGTGTTGAACTTAAATCTTTTGTTTTTGTGGCTTAATCCTTTTATTAACAACGACAACAAACCCAATATAATCCTACAAGTGGGGTTTGTGGATCGTAGATAGTACGCAAACCTTACCCCTACAGTGAATGTAGTGAGGTTGTTTCTAGTAGATCCGAGAAAAAATGAAAAGGCGAAAGGAACAACATGTAGTAATAGAAATCTACAATATTAGAATACAAGACTGCCACTTATAACACTGGAATTGATGGAAATCTACGGTATTAGAATACAAGACTGCCACTTGACGTGCTTAATTCTTTTATTGTTGTTTTAAATTGAAGAAATAAAAGGTTCTTGCTGTATAAACTTAAGTCAGAACTTCACAAAAGCCATGGCCAGAATTAAGGATGCGAAGATTAGTAAAGAAGTGATCTCCCTTTTGGTGAAGCTTTCAAGTGGTTGGCGTAAGGCGGAAAAGAACATCAAGTTCAGCAATAAGGGTGGGAATTTTTCTGCACTGTTGGAGGTGTACAATGTCAAGCACCAAAAATTGATTTGGACAATAGATATTCAGCAGCAGGACTGTACATACATTCAAGTATTAAAGATCTGGGACATTTTACCTGGATATCAGATACCAATGTTGGCAAAGGAACCCGACTTCGTTTTTGGTAATTATACAGTGGATATTATGAACCGTTTGCCAATTCAAGCATGTGGAAACGTACGAACATATCTTTGTATTGCTTGATCTAAGTTTGTTAGGATCGAAATAATCAGGTGTTATGCGGAAGTTAGTAAAGTAAACCTTGAACTATGATAAACCAGACAACAAAAAAGAAATATTTCAAAAGAGACACAAACATTTAACGTAAAGTTATCTTATCTTCTGTTCTAACAAGACTCTATACATAGCTGAAGAGGTACTCTGCGTACATTTCTTAGGAACTTTTTCTTATCTAAGTTGATGTCTTGTCGTCTCTTCTTATAAGTTGTATTCATTTGATGATAAATGAAAACTCATCCAAATGCTGACTTCACAAGTCTTCCTGTTCTGTAGAAACTTAATACTTCCAATGACTTGGCCAATTAATGGAAATGCTGTCTCAAGAAAATACTCAGCTCACAGTGATCGAGACGAGAACTTGGCAAGTCAAGTGGCTGCTATGAGTTTGAGGGATAAGCCAAAAACTTCAATAAGTTCCAAGTGAGTGTAGGGTGTACAATATAGAAAGTTTCAACAGGGGGAAACAATTTATGAAAAGTAAAATAACAGAAGTTTGTGCTATATGATTGTTTTTCGGTAGATGACCTGTGTTGCAACCAAATAACTAATCTTTTCGACAAGGTACTCCCTCCGGTCCACTTTAATTGATTTTTTGGTCTTTCTTTGTGGTCCATAATATTTGCTTTTTTTCAAAAAGATATTAACACTTCTTTTTTCCAAAGTTGCTCTTGGAGTAAAAAGTTAAGGAATATTTGTTATATTTTCAATGAACAAACTAAAGTTATGGTCAATTTTATTGTTAATTAATACTAAAAGGTGGGTTCCTAAATATATGTGAAACAGCCAAATAATCAATTAAAGTGGACCGGAAGAAGTATCAATTGATGTTGTTACTAACTCTACTCATGGTTACTAGTAATTTTCACAAGTCCAAGACGACGAAAGGAGGAATGATCAAAGCAGTGTGGCAACCGGTCTCAGATCAGTCTAGTTATTGACTCGTCGATGATTTATTATGGAATGTTCTGAGTGCAACGAGTTCAAATGGGAGACCTTAAAGTTGCATACAAGAGGTAAATATAAGATTAATGATAGTTTGCAATTCTATCATGTTTTTTCTGAGGTAGCCTTGTTACATGTGTTTGAACTGCTTTCTCAATTTATATTGATGATTCATTTTACATAACAAATTTTTGAACATTAAATTCTCTGTTTTTGGCAGATTGTAGCTTCCATTGCTTGGAAGCTAGGCATATAACACTCCTTTGATCCGCTGATTCTTGAATTTTTGCTGTTGTTATGACCCTTAAAAGGTTTGATTGAAATTTACAGCTGCAGCATGTACAGGACTATTATTAGTTGTTGCATTGTAATGAGATTTATTCAATGGTTTGCATAGCTTGTGTCACACCCTTTTTTTTTTACCTCACTAACCCTCTTTTAATTAATAAAAAGTTTTGCAAAGCTCGAAAGGGTTTTCCAAAATTGAAAAGTGACAAAACATTGTTTAAAATGGATTAACTAAGACTCGCCGCTTGACATGTAATTTCGGTGTGCCAAATCACCATTTAAAACCAATTTTTCCTTAAAAACACATTTGACTCTTAAACCAGTTTGCATCAAATATTCTAGATAAGGGGGCTCATTTGACTCGGGAAGGTGTTAGCCATTCCCCAAGTCCCGTGAAAATCACAGTTGCGTACCCGATCTAGTTAGCTTTTAAAATATTCAAATTGAGGTAAAAAAAAAAAACATATAAAAGGAAAATAAACACAAAAGAGGCTCAAGGCCGTCCCCACCTAATAAGAGAAAATGAAAAGAAAAATCCCAAACTAACCTATACTATGACTTCCCCACAATGCTCGTCAACACCTCCAAAATATTTACAAAGTGCTTCGGGGCATTCCCCGGAATAGAATATTTACTAATCCTTCGGGGAATTCCCCGGATAAATTTAACTAAAGGGACGACCTCTCGCCTCAAAATTAATAAAACGTCCTAATATTGCCTACCCAAATGTTGTCGGCCTAAACATTAGCGAATAACAAAAATAAAATAAAAATAAGTAAATAAGAGAACTGGAAGAAAATTCAATTCATGATTTTGTTCTTTTTTAACTTATCATTTTGTAGGCCGAGCCCAATCCTAAAGCTGGTAAATTAAGCACTAATGGGCCAAGTCTTTTCCCAATTTCCCACGCCCGACAATCATTCAACTGAACAAATTCCATAAGGTCAAATAATGCAAAAAGACACACAAACACTGAGGCAATAAACTAATAAAGAAGATAATAGCAAAATAGAATAAAGGACTGGTGTGCTTGAAATATGGTAAGAGCCACCTTAACATCTTGTCGATCTCACTCACAGCTCCCCAACTAACACCCTTTAAATGGAGTACCTTTTCTTAAATTCAATTGAAATTTCTGCAATACCCACATGACATAGACTTATCAACAGAACATGAGAACATGTTTTTTTTACTGGAACAAACCAGCGTGTAAAGGGCAATTGATAAAACAACTCGACCATCTAGGACATTAGCATTTCGAACTTGATGGTGAACCTTGGTTCCATGATATTAAGAAGAAATCAACAGATGTGAATGGATCTAAACACTAGTAGTCCGAATACATTCAGTGCAATTCAACTTTGAACCATAATCACAGACATTCCAACCTTGTCAATTATCCATGTTCAAACTCAATTAAAATGAGCTCGAAAGCAATGAAACAATCATCCTGGACCTTAGCTATATGATTGATCTTCTAACTAACAAAAGAAACAAGACACCAAAAGCCGTGGGTTTTCAAATAGAGGCTAATTGACTGAAACACGCAGAAATGATCTCAATGTGCAAATTAGGAATGTCACTGATCAACAAACTCATTAAGTTGAGATGCATATTAGAGCCAGGTTAACTTTCAATAACTCTTAACATAACTCATTTGAGGTGAAATGAGTGCCGGCATTCTAATTACAGGTGAACTGGCAAAGACAGGCAAAATTAACAGCAGACCAAAGCAAAGCAACAGTGAGCGAAATGCAATAAGATATGCAGGCTAATCTGACTCTAAACATGATTCACTTATCTCATATGCTACTTCAAGTAACAGCAGCCCGAATACTCAAAGAATGCAATCAAGACAAGCATTAACTCATATCAAGCAGTACAATTTCACTATCAATCGAATATCAATCATTCAGGTCAAAAGACAAACAATCCGAGCTAAAAAGACATTCCAGAACATTTAAGTGTAACCCCCATATATATTCACACAAATCAGCCCTCAATCAATTCCCTTTCTAAATCAACTCAAACACTTTCCAAATTCGACAAACCTACGGCTCTTATCATGTTTCAATCACACCATTAACAAGAATGAGAAGGAAAGAGGTGAACCTGAAACTGCGAAACTCTTCAATTAAGTTTGTTTGGAATCGAATACAAATGAATCCGGCACTGAAATTGGAAGTAACAGCAGCTGAGAATGCGACAGGATCCAAAATCCACGAACTCGGCCTCGAACAAACTTCGACTCCACGGAAAACCTCAATCAAATTCCATGGTTAAGAATCAAAATCGAAGTTGGAAAGAGGGAATAGAAACATTTTTGTATATTTTTTCTTTTTCTGGAAAACTCAAAATCAAAGAAAGAAAAGCCAAAAATCTTGCTCTCTTTTTCTAATTTTATAAACGGACCGATGACTTCAATTCAAAAATCAGAGAAAAAGGAAAGCTATCTCTCAGCCCTAGAACTTCCGCCTCTCGATTTTTCTCTCTTCAATTTCTGTCCAAAGAAACTCCTCTTATACCCAAGCCTAGAAGCTTCTCCAAAAATCCGAAAATCCTCCTCAAATCTGAATTTTTCCCTTTCGAACCAAAATGGGACAAATGGAAGCCTAGGATCTTCATCTCCATAGATCCTACGAACTCCCATTTATCCAAATTCGTCCAAAACAAAATAGAAAAAACACGTGGGGAGGTTGAAGAAGATTCGATTGTCAGAGTTTGTTATGGATTCAGATGACGTGGAAGGAATTTGAGGGGAGCTCGGGCGACCTTAGGGTGTGGTTGGGGGCGGACAGAGGGTGTGAGAGGGGTGAGGCACCGTTTTGGTTGGGTCTTTAGGGTTAGGGTTAGTGAATATTAGGTTGTTATATGTGGGTGGGGTGAATAATAGCCGTTAGATTAACATGGATCAATGTCTGGGATTAAATGGAAGATGTGGCGGGTCACAGGTTGGTTTTGGGTCGTGGGCTCAGATGGGTAGGGGCTGATGGTCGAAATTGTTGGGCTAAGGTGTGGGACTCGAAATTGGGCTCAATTTGGACAAGAAAAGCTGAGAATTTCTATTTATATAGAAAAGCCAAGTGTGGTCGACCAATGGTATAGCTGTAATTTTAGCTCAAGGGTAAAATTATAATTTTAATTAACAACTCAACGCAATTCTAAACGCAGATTCTTCCGAGCCACAAGAAGAAATGTTGGTTTTCTCGGGTTCTTAATTTGTCCTCTCAAATAATAGTTTTTTTCATTTCTCTTCATCTTCGCAGTTGGGTGTTACAACATTCAGGTCTGTTCCTCTCTAAATTTTTGCCCAAATCTTGTTCTTTTTTTCATTAATTTCTATTAGGGCTTTATTTTCCTATCTGATTTGTTTTTTGTAGTTAGAGAGTTGGTATGAGGTATACTAGTTTAGGGCAAAACTTGGAGTCATTTGCCGGAGATAATGGTGGTCTTTTACCATGTATTTGCTGCTCTTAAAGGTTGAATCTCTGGGAACAAGCATTATGATTGATTATAGAGGTAATATATATTGTAGAGTATTTTTCGTTTTTAGTTCGCATGCTTCTTCACTGTCTTTGTCATGAGCGCTTTATGGGAGATAATTGGGGTTGTTTTGCTCTAATTTTCTCAATATGATCATATATCTGACACAGTGCACAACTTCGAGAAAGTTAAAATTGTATTGATCCTATATTTTTACTCAATTCTTAGGGATAAAATTATACATGTTGATTTTGTGCAGAGATAGATCTCATAGTCAGGGATATTATCTTTTTTTCTTTGTATATTTTTTTCACGCTCCTGCTTATTCAGGGGATGCGCGTGTCTTGCTCCCTTTTTTTATTTGTTCTTTAGGAAACCTAGGGATAAAAAATAATTAGAAAATTATTGAATTTTGGTTCCAATTTTCTTTTACCGAATTTCGATGGATTAGCTTTGTAGTGATGATCATGTCGTTGCTTTCTAAATATTATTCTAAACATATTCTTTTAGAATAACACACTTTATTAATAGAATTAGATCATTGATCACTGATCCACGGGAGAATTTCGATGATCTAATGGTTTTCAATTAATGAATGCTGTGTTTTAAAATTTATAGACAATTACTAAACTAAACGATATCTTCTGGTTCCCTTTTTGGTTTCCAACGATAGAACATGTAATGGGTTAACTAATGTATCTTTGGTTATGTATAAGACAACATTGTACATACTAGGAAGATCCACTTGACTAATTATGTGGAGTTTTGAAAGATATTCTGCAATCTATTATCTATATAATCCTATGTTGATTTGCATTGTATTTTATTTCTCTTAGTGGTGGAAGCATTTAAGCTATAGTAAATAGAGTATTTTTATTGTAATTTGAATTAGTCACTTATTTAACTGATTTCTTATAAATATGTTAAATTTAACAGAGCATTGCTAGCCGAATGATGTGATTTATCCCTTGATAGAGAAATATGCTCACATCAAGTCTGAGGAGGATAGTGTGTACGCAGACCTTACCCCTACCCTGGATAGAGAGATTGTTTCCGATAGACCCTCGGCTCCCTCCCTCTAAGAACTCTCCACCTTGCTCTTGGGGTGACTCGAACTCACAACCTCTTGGTTGGAAGTGGAGGGTGGTCACCACTAGAGCAACCCACTCTTGCTCATATAATGCCTATTAAATTATAAAAGTTTTATTTGGCTAAAAATTCACTTCCTTTGAAAATTAATAGTTCTACTATTTTACCCTATTGTGTGTTTTACAAGACTAATGACTATTGAATACAGAAAAAAGAATTTGAATTGTGTTAAATGTGTTGAACTTAAAAATACATCCTCTCTGATCGTCATTATTCAACTGCCGTATTTTAAAGACAAGTACAAAAATAATCATTTGATATTTTTCTCCTTTCGTATTCTTTTCTATTTCTCCCTTTGCAGAAACTTTAAAGATGCTTAAGTATCCATTTGAGAAAATTGAAAGGAGCGGTGGCACAAATAGCCTCTTAATATTAGCAACAAATCTCCATAATGAACTTTATAAAACTTATACTATGTAAAATTTCAATAATTAAATATTTTTAATGAACTCACAAGTTCATGCAAGAAGTGTTCATTTTGGGAAAGAAATTTTTGTCACCATTTTTTACTTATTGAGACTGCTCTTTGATTCTTTGAAGCAAAAGCCGATCTTCACTTTTATTTGTAATTTCTCCTCCCACCCACCAAAAGAAGAAAATTAGAAAGATGCCAATGGTCTTTTTGATAATGATCTCCTTTTCTTTTTTTACTAATAATCAGTCAAGTATATTGTATTACTATATTTGATCGATCTTAACTTTTTTGGCCAATTTTAAACCTCTTTAGATATTCGTCTATCAATGGCAATTAAACTTGTCTATGTCTTAGTTTGGAATAGTTCTATGAACTATATTCACAACTCTATACTTCTGTCACGACCTAAAATCCCACCACAGGCGTCGTGATGACACCTAGTTTTCATTAATAAATCCAAATTTCTTCCAAATTCGTATAAAATACTTGTAAAACCTAAAATCACTCCTAATTGGTTAAAGTAAAACTAAAAATTAAAAGTGCAACTATTTTTGGTATTTTCAAATATTATAAAAGTAGATAAACATAAGTTAAAACCATAGTAAACTAAAATAGTATTACTACAAGAACATTAATGACCTTAGCTTAAATATAAAATAAAACTATTTTATCCCTCGGTAGTGTATAAATCGAAGAATCCGAGATTTTTTTCTCATTTTTAGATATTTCAAGCACGAATTTAGGCTATTTCAAAGGGGTTTTCCACGATTTCGACTTGGGTAAGTATTTTATATCTGAAAGTGATTATACTTCATAAATTCATGTCAATATTTATCATTTATTTCGAATTTAGATAGAAGAAATTAGTTTTTTTTGTAAAACTTTCCAAAAATGAAAAATTAAGATTTGAAGGTCCATTTGACATCGAAATTTGATAGTTTTTGTATGGTTGGACTCGTTTCGGAATGGGTGTTCGGATTTCGTAAGTTTTTTCGAGATTCGAGATGTGGGCCCACTGTTGATTTTTGAGATGAATTTCGGATTTTAATCCGGAAAATTAGCAAATTCATATGAAATTAATTCCTACGATTTGTATTGAGTATATTGAATTATTTATGACTATATTCGAGGATTTCATACACGAATTCGCGAGGCAAAGGTTTATTGGATTCTTGAATTTGGTTGCAAAGCGAGGTAAGTGTCGTGGTTAACCTTGACTTGAAGGAGTAGGATTCAATTGTCTATTTGATACATGATTTAATGTGCGGGTACAACGTATATATGAGGTGATAAGTACATATGCGTTGTGGTTGAGTCAAAGCATGTAGGTGGAATTTGTTTATTGTGAATAATTATCTATTTAATTAAGATATTCCTGCTTAAGTTTATTATTGATTATTTGATCATTATTCGTGAAATTATTATTCATTTAATTATTGTTGAATATTTTGGAAGGTGAAGTCGGTATTTAGTATTGAATTGATTGATAAGTGTGCATTTAAATACTCTTCCGAATTTATATTATTATTTTCATGGTAAGGAAGAGTATAAAAGCACGAAGGGTGATGCCGTGCCATTTTAATTATTCATAATATCATTGTCATGGTAAGGAAGTGTGTAAAAGCATGAAGGGTGTTGTTGTGCCATTTGTGAGTGTAAAAGCATGAAGGGTGTTGCCGTGCCATTTTATGAGTATAAAAGCACGAAGGGTGATGCCGTGCCATTTTAATTATTCATAATATCATTGTCATGGTAAGGAAGTGTGTAAAAGCATGAAGGGTGTTGTTGTGCCATTTGTGAGTGTAAAAGCATGAAGGGTGTTGCCGTGCCATTTTATGAGTATAAAAGCACGAAGTGTGTTGCCGTGCCATTTTATGAGTGTAAAAGCACGAAGGGTGTTGCCGTGTCATTTGTGAGTATAAAAGCACGAAGGGTGATGCCGTGTCATTTTAAGAGAGTGTAAAAGCACGAAGGGTGATGCCGTGCTAAAAGAGAGTTAAAGCACGAAGGGTGATTACGTGCCAATTATTATTATTATCAGTTTATGAGAGGAATAAGAGTAAAAGCACGAAGGGTGGTGTCGTGCCATTTTCATATTATCATTTGCTCATTTTATTGTTGATGAATTAATTGGCTGCTAAGTGATACTTTGCTTACTGAAATTATTATATCATTCCCCTTTGCATGCTCCCTCCCAATTTATAAATTGTTATTTATTGTATTATTGTTGCTTCGTATTTGTCTATACTTGTATAGGTCGTTTACGTATGTGTCTTATCATAGCCTCGTCATTACTTCGTCAAGGTTTGGCTCGGCACTTATCAGTATATATGGTCGGTTGTACTGATACTACACTCTGCACTTCTTGTGCAAATTTCGGAGTGGGTCCCACCGACGTACTATAGATTTGTCCGGATACATCTACCAGTGGAGACTTGAGGTATAACTGCATAGAGTTCGTAGTTCTGAAGTCCCCTTCTATCTTATCTCAGTTATGTATTATATTTCAACAGCTTGAATTTTATTTAGACCTTTATTTGTATTATTCTAGTAGCTCGTGCAGTTGTGACACCAGATTCGGGAATGTATTGTGATGATTCGGTAGTTATGGTCTTCCGCACTTTATTTTAGCAATTAACTTTTGTTTAATTTAATTTGCTTAAAAATAGTTAAGATTATTTTAACATTGGCTTGCCTAGCAAGTGAAATATTAGGCGTCATCACGGTCCTGAAGGTGAGAATTCCGGGTCGTGATAGTTGCTATCAGAGCCCTAGGTTACATTGGTCTCACGAGTCACGAGCAAGTTTAGTAGAG